CGAGGTAAATATGGAAGACTAGCCCCATGTACTAAATCAATCTGGTACTGAATATTCCTCATAAAAGGTAACTCATTCGGCATTATTTTGCCAATATTTTTTGCACTTTAGACGAAACACTTTCACCTTCATTATTTGCTATAAAAAGCTCCTTAACCAATATTGGATAAAAGCAATCAGATTTTCTAACACAATCTACAATCTCCTTCTCATTACTTGTAAGGGTAATGAAACTCTCGATTCATTGTTGGGTGGACTTCTTCATCTACTTGAAAAGAACTATATCGATCTTATGACGGCTCCATGTAAAGAGTACCACATTATCACACCATTTGAGAGTTGAGTCCACATCAAATTGCCATGGATGACCCAATAAGATATGTCAAGCAAGCATGCATGTCTATGATATCACACATAATTTCATCCTTATAATACTTACCAATAGAAACATGTACTTTGCAAGTCTCAGAATGAAAGTACCTCTCTTCACCCAACCAAGGGCATAAGGTTTAAGATGGTTATCAGTTGGTAATTTCAACAAATTCACGAACTTCTTTAATGCAAAGTTCTTATAGCTTTTATTGTCCACAATCACTTTAGACACCTTATTCTTGATAGAACAAAGCGAACGAAAGATACAATAATGATGCTCCTTATCCTTAGGTAAAAAGGATCTACTACAATACCAAAGTGAGCATTTCCACACTTTCTTAACAACAAACTCAATTTATGCGTACTTATCTTCTACCTAGGTGTCTTCTTCCTCGTCCGTTGTCTGCAATTCCAACAAATTTATCTAGAATCTTTTTGGAAAGGTATTGAAACGATGCCCAAGCTCGTAGCATATATAACAAAAATCTCCGATGTGCCTAGCATAAGATTTGCATTCAGAGGTATGCCTAGGGTTTGGCCTTTGGTTCCAAACCAACCATTGTTGTCAACATTGCTCCTATTAGGTTGGCTGAGGTTTGTTGTGGAACCTTCCCTTTGTCCGAAGGAACGTACGATGAAAGTTCGACAGGTAGGTGAACTTTCCTATAAGAGGTTGTCCTCTTATCGGATTCCATCATCTCAACCTTCATAATTAGGGTTATGCGACAGCACTAGGAACTCCTCTTCTAACGATTCACTGTCCTCTACTGGAAGTCTCCTATTCTTTCATCTTCGAATTACAGGTTTAATGATTCGTTCATTGTGGATTTTCTTATTGCCAGGTTGATTATTCTGTACATTGTTTAGTAATGCAAGTGGCGGCGATGGTGTATTGTAGGTGGTGGTAGTGCTAGTACAGTGCAGGTGGTAGTGATGGTGGTATGTTGGATGATGAGGTGGTGGGAATTCCTTGTTCAATCTATTGAATGGCTTGATATTTTAGGTTGCGGTGGAGATAGGTTGTAGTATTGGTCTGCGGTGTGTGTAAATTTATTTGTGATGACCCTCTATGACCAAGTCCATGTTAATTGTGACCATGTGTGACCAAGCATTTGTCAATTCAACTGACTATTACTGTATGTGTTGTGGTGATGGTCTGCGGTGTGTATGAATTTATTTGTTGGGACCCTTTATGACCAAGTCTGTATCAATTGTAACCGGTTGTGACCAAGTTTATGTTAATTATGATCGGTTGTGACTGTATGTGTTGTTGTACTGGTTTGCGGTAGTGCAAATTTATTTATGGCGACCCTCTTTGACCAAGTCTATATTAATTGTGATCGATTGTGATCAAGTCTGTATTAATTATGATCCATTGTGACTGTCTATAACCGCAATACCTAAAACGTTGCTATCACCTCAACAGTACCACCACTACTACCACACAAATCAACTCCAATGCAATGCACTATCATTAGTGATGAGCAGATGATAAGTAAAATGATTTATCATTGATAGGTCATTGAAGAGGACAGACTCCTGCCAAAGGCATTGAAGATAGCGAGATCAAGTGTATTTTTTCCCCACCACTACACCTCTCTTACTTTCTCTCTCTATAATTTGTATATAATATATACCTACAATCTTTCTCGGTATAAGTACTTTCTCGGCTTCTCTCTTTTCCTACTTCTTTTCATACTAGTCTTTGTTGTGTGATTTTAGTGAACCCCTAGAAAATTTGGAGTTGTAGTTGGCTAGGGTTGTTTCTAGGGATTCGATCTATTGATTTGTTTGGATTTGTAAATCTGAAATAAAAAATGTACTTAGTGAGATAAGGGATTGGGATGGGGTGAGGAGTTGGGAGATAAAATAATGCTCGTAGTGGTATATTATATATTTATTAATTTGAATTACCTCCTGATTTATGAAAGTATTTTGTAAGATTGTTGATTGTGAAATGCAACTATTATAGTGTAGTAACTGTGTGTTGTTCCCTCTTTTTTTTCCTTTTTGGTCCAAATATTCCTCAATCTACTCGGCTATTTGTTCTACGTCACTATCACAGAATTGCTCCTTGCCTCGAAAATATACTACAGTATAGAGGTGATGCCTAGCCTAGGATAACAACGTTCAAGGATGGATGTCCAATGGCATGACCTAGTTACCTCGATGGGTACATGTTGAAGAGGCGAAGTCGAAGCAGAATTCTGACTTTCTGTGGCCTCTTGCTTTGTTTTTATGTAGGCGACTGATATGTGGTCTGTCTCATATGCCAATGCGTAAAAGTTTTAATTTTATTTTTAATAATAATAATAACAATCCGTTTATGACGTCTTGATTACACAACATCTTAATAACTATAAAGAAAACTAGTTGATGCATCTAGTGGTGAACCCAAGTTTTTGAGTTAGCACGGGCGGTCGTGGATTGTCGACCGTTATCAGTAATAAAATATTAAGAACCCCATTTGATGCCCATTTTTTTTTTGTTAAAAGTGCATTTTGGAATAGTCATTTGATGGAGAATATGTGGTTAAAAATAAGAAAAAGTTTCGGATTTGAATGTAATATTATTTTATTGAAAAATGTGCAGTTGAAAGAAGAAAGAAAAATGTATTAAAAAAAAGAATCAAATAAAGTCTAAAATTTAAATATAACAAAAAAGAGAATCAAACAAGAGCTAAAATATAAATATAACAATTATTTTGTTAAAACTGGACAATATAATTTTGTTGTAAAAATTAGCAATATTTACCAAATGATATTGTGGCCAAGTTTTGTATAATTCAAAGGAAGAGCACGGGTTCAAATTTTTACAATTTTATTAAACCCGCTAAAATGTAACATATATTATTCCGGCAAATTTAGAATCAAATTAAACGAGTGCCACAATGGTCAAGCTCTCAATATCCTAAGGAGATGTCACAGTTTCAAATCTCCTCTCCTTATCCCATTTAATTTTGGTAAAAATTAAAGAATTAGAAATCTTTCACAATAAAAGTGATGAGAAAAGGATTCGAAACTAAGACTTCACATATGAATATAAAAGCTCCAACCAGCTGAGCTACAAGAAATCTTTGATAATAAAACAAATTACCAGGTATATAATCTAAAAAGTTTATTTATTGTCAACAAAAAGAACTGTTCCCAGCGGATCCAGCATCCGTGGCCGCTAGGGCTCGCTGGGTGCTGGGTCTGCCACTGGATGCATCTGCAAATAAAAAATTATTTCCTGAATTGCCTTCCTCAAAGGTGTGTTTTGGTCAAGTATCTGAATATAGCAAGGATTGTTTCTGACTAATGTCCAGAGAGGCGTTAATCGTTTTTGGATATTCAATCATTAAGTTGGTATCGCAAAATATAGTACGCTGATAGCTACATAAATTACTCAAGTCTGATTATTATAATGCATCAGGATTGTTAGAGACAGTTTTAACTTGGCTTTTGCTTGTTGCTTACTTTATGGTTGAGTGATACAGATGATGAGGATATACGTGTCAATGGCCCAAATTCAAGGCCATAATTCCAAAATGGCCTTTGAATGGCCTTTGACTATTT